TAATTAAAAACAAAATTTAAATTTATTTTTAAAAACTTGTATTATTTTTGAGAGAGGGAGAGCGGGGGAGGGGCAGAGAGAGACGGGGACAGAGGATCCGAAGCAGGCTCTGTGCTGTCCGTGCATAACCCAGCGTGGGGTTCGAACTCGCGAACCACGAGATCATGACCTGAGCTGAAGTTGGATGCACAACTGGCTGAGCCACCCAGGCGCCCCAGAACTTAGGGTCTTTAAACAGTCATCAGCTCTCAACTTGTATCTGGGTCGGGAGTTTCGGGAAGGGTCCAGCTGTAAGAAGGGCATTTTGGCTAGGAGATACTGGTGTGGCATCTTTGGCAAAAATACCGGCTGCTAGAGAGAGGGGGAGGAGCCACAGCAGGGGGCTGGGTGGGTCACCCCTCGAACCCCCTCAGTGAAAGGGAACCGAGGAGGGCAGTCTAAATGTAGGGAGAGTGGGTGGTCTGAGAACCATCCCAGGGGAGGCACCCTTAAAACAATAGAAAGTTGGGGTGCCTGGGTGGCTCAGTCGATTAAGCGTCTGACTTCGGCTTGGGTCATGATCTCACAATTCGTGAGTTCAAGCCCCGCATCGAGCTCGCTGCTGTCGGTGCAGAGCCCCCTTCAGATCCTCTGTCCCCCTCTCTGTGCCCCTCCTCCATTTACACTTGCTCTATCATAAATAAACCTTTAAAAAAAAAAGTTACTCTCCCAAAGTTCTGGAGGCCAGAAGTCCAAGGTCAAGATGTCAGCAGGGTGTTCCTTCTGGATGCTCAGAGAGAAACCATCCTATGTCCCTCCCCTAGCTTCTGATGGCTGTTGGCTTTCCTTGGCTTGTATGCTCATCACTTTAATTTTCGCCTCCATGGCCGTTTTCTCTCCAGGTCTTCACATGGCCTTCTTATGAGGACACCAGTCGTTGCATTTAGGGTCCACCCCAATCCGATACTTCCGCATTTTAACGTCTACATCTGTGTAGACCCAGTTTCCAAATAAGGTCACATTTCGAAGCTCTGGTGGACGTGGTTTTGGGGGGACATGATTGAACCCAGCTAGGTTGTGGGGGTTGTGGGACAGGGCCCTGACCATCCCTGCCACTCTCAGATGGCCCCTTGAAGGGGACGATCCCAGAGAACCTGATGGTGGAGGTGACGATGGAGGTGGTGGGAAAGAACCTGCTGGTTGGAGCTGGGAGGCCAGTACTGGCCACTTGGTTGCTGGACGTGGCTGCACACAGTTGCGGTGCCCTACTACGGGCAAGTCTGGCACCAGCAGCACCTGCCCTTCCACCCGCACCCCTTCCCACAGAGTGCCATACACATGGTGAATCAGGTGCAGTCGGAAAGGGGAGGGTCGGAGGCGAGAAGATGGGTCTGAACATGGCTGTGGAGTCAACACTGAAGTCTTCAGTCTCTGGGCTGACAGTGTCTGGGCCAGAGAGTGCCTGTGGGGCTGGATTTATGAGCCAAGAAGAACTTGAACTGGGGGAAGTCAGAGCCTGAGCTATAGACTGGCCGAGTGCGGGATCAGCTTAAATGATTCTCAGAAAGGCTCAGTCCTGCCAAGTCTGAGTCTCCCTGAGACCAGGGCTGGCCAGGTTGGGCAGTGAAGCCAAGCGGTCACTTAAAGCACTGGGTTTGGAGTCCCTTAGATGTTTGTTTGAATCCCAGCCTTGCCCATTACTACTTGTGTGGTCAGAGTGTGGGACCAGTCATCTGTCCGTCCGTCCGTTTGTCCATCCGTCCATACATCTGTCTGTCCACCTATCCATCATCCACCCATCACATTGTCACTTAGTATAATCATGTATGAACTTGGGGAACTTCTCTGCACCACTGTTTTCTCATTCATGAGACAAGGATGATCATAACACCTCCATCACTGGGCTGCAGGAGGGATTCACTGAGTTAATGACATTATAAAGCTGCGAGGCCAAGGCCTGGCCCATGGTAGGTGCTCAGTAACGATAGTGCTAATGATCATGGTGATTCTGTTGGTGGTGATGATTGAGATGCTGCTGCTGTCGGCGGTGAGGATGGCGATGGTAATAGTGATGGAGGGAGGGGACTGTGTCGATGGTGTTGGAGATGATGAAGATAGTGGTGACAGTGCTAATTAGCGCTGATGATGAACATGACAGTGGTGACGGTAATGATTAAGGTGGTCATGATGGGGGCGCCTGGTGGCTCAGTTGGTTAAGCGTCTGAATCTTGATTTCGGCTCAGGTCATGATGTCACGGTTTGTGGGATTGAGCCCCGAGTCAGGTTCTATGCTGACAGCGTGGGGCCTGCTTGGGATTTTCTCTCTGCCCCTGTCCCACTTGTGCGTTCTCTCTCTCTCTCTCTCTCTCTCTCTCAAAATAAACAAACTTAAATGTAGGTGGTCCCTGCTCACCCTAATCTCTGCCTCCCTCAGATGATCTCTTGCAGGGGATCATCCTTGAGAACCCTGAACGTGGCCAAGGAGGCAGAGCTGGGTGGCTAAAGATAGTGACCCTGCCCAGGATGGGGGTGGGAATCCAAGGAAAGTTTTCCATGGGAGGGAACCTTTGAACTGTGCCCTTGTGGACGGGTCTGGGTTTGCCAGCTCTGGTGGGAAGAGAGTCCAGGCAAGAGAATGGTACTTGGAAAGGGGAGAAGAGGGGCCTGGCAGGTGGGGGCATGCTCCTGCCTGCTGGTGAGGAAGCACTGAGCATCTCCGTCCATCCCAGGTACACAATACCGCCTTCAGCGCTGGGCAGGCCGCACAGAGGAATAAGACTGCCTCCTTCCACCATGTGAACCTCCTCCCAGAGGATGACAGCGACCTCTACATCTGTGACATCTTCCCCACCCTTGTGTCTGTTGGTATAGACGAGTCCAGCTATGAGTGGATGGAGGGAGGGGGCCGCCTGTGGGGGACGGTTGGCCAGACCCTGCGCTTCCCTGGACGCCACCCTGCCCATCTGTAAGGTCCAGGCCCTGATCCCTGGGGCCGACTCTGGGACGATGGGGCGGGGAAAATCCTGGGAGACAGGGAAGAACCTTCCTTTTGGATGCAGGTGTCACAGGGGTCCAGTGGTAGACAGAGGGGGTCATGACAAAAGCCAGAGAAGAGGAATGTATGAAAGGAGGGGCTGGCCAGGGGGCAGGAAAGGGTGTTCTTAGGGATCTGGGGAGAAAGGGCCATCAAGTGGTCATCAGGTGGGCCTGTCAGAGGATTTAGAGGAGGGGAGATCCCAGGGGTCGAGGACCCGTCTGAAGAGGCAGAGGAAGGGCGACCGCAAGATCAGGGAAGGGGTCACCCGAAGGGTCAGGGGAGAGGTTATCACCGGGGTGAATGGAGAAGGGGGAATGCAGAAATAAAGCTTAGGGATAGAAAGCCAGGGCCAGGGCCCTGTTGCCTGAAACTCCGGGCTTCCAGCTCTCTCTGCCTCTCCAGGCTCCCCTACTGTGGCTTCCTCGGAGGCATGTTTGCCCCGTGCCCCATTCGCTACCTGAGGATAAACGGCTTCCCCAACTCCCACCGGGGCTGGGATCATGATGAGGACATGGCTGCCGGGGGGGGGGGGGGGGTGCTGCTTGAGGAGCCCACAGGGAGCCGCAGGTCCCTCCACGGCGTGGGGGGTGCAGGCCACCTGGCCTCCCCCCTGTAAGGCTGCAAAGACGCTCCTCTTACCACCCCGTCTGTTCTCCGGCCACCACCGTTTGCCGGAGGGCCGGGACCTCTGCCAGGAGCAGAGCCACCAGAGGTAAACTGGGGTTGGAGGTAGAATGTTCTGTCTTGGGCGGTCCTTAAGTCCTGGGCTCGTGTGGCCGCCCCTCCCCCCATCCTGGCTTTTTGGCCCCAGTCAGCTGCAGGTGGCATGAACTCCTAGGGCTCCAGGCTGCTCTCCAAGGAGCTACAGCCCGTCCACACCAGCCTCCCCATGGACATCAACTTCACAGCCCTAGGAGCCCCAGTGCCAAGCCGAGGGTTTGCTGGAGGCTGGAACAGAATCCCCGGGACCAGAGCTCCCACCTGGTTTCTTACTAAGGAGGGCTGATTTTACTCACTTCTCCCCACCAGCCTTATTCCCCCGCCTTTCACTTCCACGCATCTGTTGGTTCCAAGTGCTTAACACGGACCTACCTGTTTACTTCTCACAAAAGGACGTTGGCATCGTCCTTCTGAAACCCAGGAATTAAACACTTGCCCAACTGACGTAGGATCAGATACAGGTGCCTGGCTCCTGGGCCTGTGTCCGACCACACTATGCTACTCTTTTCTTGTAGCAAAAAAAAAAAGTGGGAAAGAGTAAAACCCGTGAGGCTGGTTGAATATGTTAGAGCGTGTTCACCCTACAGCATATGGTGCAGCCACCGAACGGACGTGTTGCAGCTCGAGAAGAACGAGGCACACACGCCTGTGACAGGATCCGATACTGACAGAACCAAGGACAGAGCTCCGACACAGGTGTAGGATTATGAGCATAGGGATGGGTGTGTGCGGACACCAGGTGCTGGCAATCTCCCGTAAGGGCCGGAGGGTAAATATTCTCGGCTTTGCGGGCCACGTGGGCTCCGCCACGGGTTACTCACGCCCGCCATACACAAACAGATGAACGTGGCTGTGTCCGGTAAAATTTTTATTTAAAAAACCCGGGTGGCCAACGGCCAGTTTGCTGACCCTGGGGAAGTGACCAGGAGGCTGTATAAAAATGGGAAAAAGTCCACACCGAAAGGCTGACGCTGGTTATTTACGGAGATGCTCGCCACAAGTGGTGGGGGTGGAAAGAAGTGGGGAGGGGAGAGCTGGGCTAGTCGTGTAAGAGAAGAGGTGCCCCGTGAAGACCAGTATACATCACAAAATCACATTTATGCATTTATCAAAAAATCTGGCAAAATTTTATCTTGTACTACTTTTTTTTTTTTTTAACGTTTATTTATTTTTGAGACAGAGACAGAGCATGAACGGGGGAGGGGCAGAGAGAGAGGGAGACACAGAATCGGAAACAGGCTCCAGGCTCTGAGCTGTCAGCCCAGAGCCCGACGCGGGGCTCGAACTCACGGACCGCGAGATCATGACCCGAGCCGAAGTCGGATGCTTGACCTACTGAGCCACCCAGGCGCCCCTCTTGTACTACTTTCTACAGAGACACTTTTCTCAAGGTTAGTCCGGGTTTCTTCCCAAGAGAGTTTTATAATCCTTGACGAGGTTAGTACGAATATGGACACTTCCCCTCATTGTTAAATGTTCTTGTCTAAGTGATTTCCTTCATATAAAACAAGGTGTACCTTTGCAACAATGCAGCGCATTCCGGGGGTCCTTCTGTTAACATTCAATTGAATCAGACTCTACGGAGATTTTTTTTTTCCTTCGAGAAATTTAGACTTTGTTTCACTTTATGTTATTGCTGATGCATACTGGGAACGGATGTCTGGGTAATGCCTTTCATGCAGTAACTGCTCTCGTAAGGTCTGTCTCTGGTATGAGTTGTTTGGTGTTTATTAAAATTGGATCTGTTGTTGAAGGCCTTCCCACACTGAGGACACGCATAGGGCGTCTCTCCCGTGTGAATTCGCCGGTGCACTTGGAGCTGTGGTTTCTTACTGAAGGATTTCCCGCAGTCCCCGCATGCGTGAGGCCTCTGTCCGACGTGAGTTCTCCGATGTGTCATCAGCTCTGATTTCTGGCCAAAGGCGGTCCCACATGTGTGGCAGGCAAAGGTCTTCCCTCTCGTGTGAGTCATCTGATGTTTGTGGAAATTGGACCTGCCGTTGAAAGCCTTCCCACACTCGGCGCACACGTAGGGTTTCTCGCCCGTGTGGACCCGCTGGTGCTCTCTGAACTGTGACTTGGAGGTGAAGGCTCTCCCGCAGTCGCTGCACTTGTAGGGCTTCTCTCCGGTGTGG